TAACCCTCTTGTAACTTCGGTGTATACATTACAACTGTCTTGCTGTAGTCTTCTTTACAAGAAGCCAAAATCACATTGCTTTCCAAACTGTATGCACGCTGTGTGAATAAACTTTGTTCCTGTTGAAGTGCTGTGTGCAGTGTACAGTGCACTTCTCCATTCCCCCCCCTCTAATTGATCTTTCCATACATATTTGTAGGAGAAGACCAGTGCCCTCAGTCTGAGCAACGTGGCTGGAGGCTTCTACATTCTTGTCGGAGGACTTGGTTTGGCAATGCTGGTGGCTTTGATTGAATTCTGTTACAAGTCCAGAGCCGAGGCGAAACGAATGAAGGTGGCAAAGAATGCACAGAATATTAACCCAACTTCCTCGCAGAATTCACAGAATTTTGCAACTTATAAGGAAGGTTACAACGTATATGGAATCGAAAGTGTTAAAATTTAGGGGGTAGGAACGAGGTTCTAATACAAACTTCTAAGTGCACGCTGTAGCTTCATTGTTGCATCCTTTAGCTATTGAATGAGGAAGTTGGCCAAGGGACCATACTGTATGTATTGTTGCTGTTCTTTCATGTTCCCTATCAGTAACTAACCAAATGAGCAAGTAATGACTGCAAGGTAGTTTCTGGTGAATGTGGATCTTCCTGGCATAAATGTGCTTAACTATTTGTAGCCCAGCTTTTGCTTTACATGTTTGTTTTCATTTGCTAGAGACTTTCAAAAAGTAATATAAAATGATCTGGGCCTGATTCTCCTCTCGCTTACAGTGGTGTAAATAAAACTGGTGTAAGGAAGAGGAGAGTCTTACCCTCTGTCTCAGATACTGAATTGCTGTAATGTATCAGTTATGTTTCTTTCTCTCTTCCTTAAGATGACCTTGAATGATGCCATGAGGAGCAAGGCAAGGCTGTCAATTACAGGAAGTACTGGAGAAAATGGACGTGTTATGACTCCAGAATTTCCAAAAGCAGTGCATGCAGTACCTTACGTGAGTCCTGGCATGGGAATGAATGTCAGTGTGACTGATCTCTCGTGATTGATAAGAACCTTCTGAGTGCCTTACACAATGGTTTTCTTGTGCGTTTATTGTCAAAGTGGTGAGAGGCATCCAGTATCTTGAAGACATTTCTTTCGGCCAAGAATTCTTATATTTGTGGAGTTCATCTTGAATTGTAATGAATGCTTAGTACAAAACACAACACCATTTTCTACACAAGTTCAAGATGAAGCTTGACTGACATGCACAGCTAACATGGAAGTACTGTAATCTAACTGAAGTCGTGTACAGGAAACACACCAGTTTCTGCAGCCACCATTGTTAGTCCCTTGGTTCATACTGACTTAAGCACACTTGACATCAATTGCATCAAGATGTGACATGTTTTATAAGAAAAAAAAAACATTTAAAAGGAAAAAAATATTTTTAGGTATTTTCACAAACAAACTGGCTTTTAAATAAATTTGCTTCCATAATGGTTGAATAAGACAAAAAAAATTAACTGTGGGGAAGTGGAAAAATCAAAAAAAGGCTTTAGGGCATCAGTTCCATATTTTTGAGAGCCAAATATGTAAATGATGAGGTGAGGAAAATAAATAAATAAAAGGTTCAAATCTTGTAATTTTAATTGTTATTAAAACTTTACTGTATAGCCTATTCTTTAATATTTGGTGTTAATATCCAATTGGCAATGCTTGACATTTGAAATAAACTTTTTTCTATGGTTTTATTTGCAACTGGTCCAATTAATTTTGCAAGCTACAGTTGGGTTATAAGAATCTAAAATGTAAAAGGACATTGTCTAGGTTGGGCCAAAGTTTTATGTCCTCCCAACTGCCTTACCCTCAGCTCATTTTGAGCTGTTTAATTCCATGTTTTATTTAGAGATGGACCCGAGCCATAACATTCAGATCTGCATTTCGGATCCCCAGAGGAGTTCAAGGGTGTCCTATACTGGAGTTGCACTAGAGCTAGGAACCTGATGCAAAATTTGGATACAGGTTTTGATTCTTGTCCCCTTTACCTCTGAGGTGCAGGGACACTAAGATCTGAGGTTTTGGTTCATACCCATCTATGGTTTTACAGAGTGTGTGCATGTGTGTGTGTGTGTCTGTGTATTTTATATAAAGCATATCAATAGAAGGCAAGCATTCAAAATAATCCTACAATAATAATAATTATAGAATAAACCCAGATTTCAAAATAAATTCCCTTAAGGAAGCAGATTTCAAGTATCCAGGAAGTGATTCTACAGCATGTAAAGTTTTTCTTAAGAAAAATACCTTGACAATGTCTTTTTAATCTAAGATCCATAATATTCCAATCCCTGAAATTTGATGTGTTTGTATTTTTGAAAATATAAGAACTTTCATAAATCTTATACATGATGAGTGTTTTCAGAATTTTAAGTTATCCTAGGTTCTCCTCATAAGGACCCTACAGACGTAGACCCTGTTTACAACACAAAAATGAATCCTCAAAGGGGCACAGTAACATTCATTTAAATGCTAATACAACCCAAACCAATGTAATACTTCCCTAGCCTTCACCTATGGATAAGATATCAGATGTTAGGTTAAAGAGCTTACGTTTCTCTGTGTTGTGAATACAAAAAGATACAATATCCCTCATGCAGTACTACTAGTTCCCTATTTTATTTCTCACTGAAGTAAAATTTGAAACATAATGTACAGTGTTAGCTGGAATTCTTTCCTTAATCTTCAGTAAAAGCTTTGTTTAACACTCAAGGATTGTAGCGTCACTAGAAACTTTATATCCCTTCTCTTGGTACAAGCTATGGGCCTGATTCTGAAAGCACATGCATAAAGTACTTTCATTACTGTCAGCCAGAGATATATATGCAGAGTGCTTGCAATATCGGGCCCTTTGCTAGTAACCTGCCCATCACTAAAGCTTAACTGTTTCTCAGCTGCATATGCTGAAGTAATCCATGGGTGTTCTGTGCATTATGCCTCATCAGGAATGTGGGGATGCAGTCTGAATTTTAATATTCAATGCTAGAATGACCAAACTGAAATCTAATAATATTCATATGGTTCTTAAAACATTTTTAAAAGTAACATTATGATACTGTATACAATGCAAAACTATTTATTGTACCTCTGGGCCAACTCTTCTAAAAACTGTAGCGTTTAAATCTTCCTTTGTCAAGCCTGAAATAATGTATATAATTGAAATAATGTAAAGTTATATTTTCATGTTTTTATACTTGCAACATGATTGGAATACATAATGTATGAGTATTTCAATTACAGATAATGTTGATTGGATAATACACATCTCGGTTAAAAAGCAGTAATCATAGTTTAATATCCGTGTTACGGTACATCAGTATATTGCTATATAAAGTATGTTTGTGTGCATTTAAGTGAAAAAATAGTCAAGAATGATGACAACTGTCTAAGGGTTTTCTATTCATTTTGTATGAAAACTGTTATGGAACAACCAAAATGTTTATGAACTATTCTTGTGTAAAATTTCAAAATGTCCTTTACTGTAGGTTTTTGTTTACGGTACAGTATCTTACTTCTGCTTTGTTAAATGGGTATCAGTACAAAGCTGGACATACACTTTCTAAGACTTCTGAAGACATTAACGCTCCCAGTTTTTCAAGTGTACCTATATGGCAGAAAATGTTTTTGATTTTATTTTTAAATCTAACACATGATGGCTTTTCTGGAGTGTTGTACAAACTTCAATCATACATAAAACACGTTCTTAAAAAAAAGGCAAAAGACCCTTAATTTGTTTGTTTAGTATTATTGAAATCTGATTTCTTACTCATAAAAAAGTATTTTAATAAACTTCCGCACAGAGCAGATCTATTTGTCCATACAGAAGTGGAGTCCTTGAAGAGTTTCTGCAAGAGAATGCAAACCTTTCATGCATGAAAGAAATTATTTCACATACGGGTAAATTTACTGTGGTTTGCATTACCTCTGAACAAAATTATTTAACTTTCTTGTCAATAATACAGTTGTACTTTCTGTATATAGCCCTCTTGATGATGCCTGTAAGGCAGTGCTGTAAATTGGTGCAATCAAATATTTATTTGTGTCTGACTGTACCTTAAAACTGTCAAATATTTCCTGGATCAGTAATTTTGATTTCAACAGATGATTGATATATTATCAGCACAGGAAATGAGACTTGGCAAGTATTTAAAGTAAATTTTAGTGGTCAGTTCTAGAGCTGTAAAAGCCAGTTTGTAATAGCAATGAATAAGTATAAAGTCAAGCTTGAAGAGATTTGTCAGATAAAAGTTACAAGGTATAGGTCATAGTGTGGAACACGTCTTAACAGAGAGTTTGTCTTGTAGACCTTCTCCCATCCTACTGACGGTTACACTTGACACCTACATCAATGATATAGAAAAAGAATATATTACAAGCATTAGTATGTTTTTACCTGTCTTTTGATACAACTTATCACCTTATAACAGCACTAGCACCAGGTGACGGTCCACCACCAAGAGACCACCAGCAAGCGCTCTCTGGATCTGTTGTGTCTATAGACTACCCAGATTTGGGAAAGGTTCTCGGGTCATCTGGATTCTAGGCCAGACTCTTAATTCAAGTCAGATCATCTTCTAGAACGATCTCATTAGGACTTTATCTGATCTGTTTTGAACATCTCTAATTAATAATGAGAGTGACTCAGCTACCTCACTAGACAGTTAATTTCAATGCTTAATTTACTTCATTGTTAAGAAAATATTTTTATTTATGCTTAATAGAACGGTGTCCATATCTGGGATAGGTGTGGGAATGCCCTCAAAGGGGGAGGAGTATCAAAAGGAGACAGTGAAGGAGCAGGTTTATAGGAAAGAAAAGACTTGGAGAGCACTGAGTCTGAGGTCAAAGGAGGAGAAAGTGGTCGATCATATCAAAGGTGGTAGATGTGCTGGATGAAAGCATGAGGATGAAAAAGATGTCTTACAGTTTGACCAGAAAGAGATCATAGAAGAATGCAGTCAGGGGAGGCGCTTTAATGGAGTGGAGAGTGCAGACATGACTGCAGGTCAACAACGAGCAAGCTAGTAGGGTGGAAGTTGAGGCAGTGGGTAGAGACAGCACACTCAGGAAGTTTACTGGGCAGGTGCACTTTCTAGCACTGTAGAGATTATACTTAGAATTCAGTTATTTTCAATAAGAGTGTATTGACCATGCATTTTTGAAATGATGTTTATGCTTTTTTTATGGTAAATATGCTAAGAAAATGTGAAAATGAAATTTGTTTCCATAGCCTAATTTTGTATCCATTGTACATAAGCATATTGGTTTCTTATAGTAGGGTTGCTCATGAGGGACCTTCTGGCATTAACTTCACTGAAGAAAGTGGAGAATATTGTTTAAAATAGATTTGAAGGACTATGCATCCCAGAGTTTTCTATCAAACTTCCAAGTTTTATACAGCACTAATCATCATGTTAGCTAAGTGACAAAAATATGTATAAAAATAGGTTAAATTTTGGACCTGGCAAGTCTTGACAATTTTCTTTACAAATAAGATAATTTTCAATATTTTTCAATATTTTAGTGATTTATTTACACATTTCAATTCAATTCACAGCTGTCAACATACATTTTGGGCTACTTTAGTATCTTCAAATGGTGGAGGAAAAGTCCATCAAATTTCATTTTTCTGTTTTCAAAACAGTAGACTCTTGTCACATTGTCACAATTACTAAACAATATAAAATCCCTTTGAGTTTTACTTGAATTTTTTTGCACATGTTGTTGATTTTTGAGTTTGTTTGAAAACACACAACCAAGTAATTAATTTTGTTCAAAAGTATTAGAAGATAAACCTTTTTGGAATAGATAAATCTAGATTTTTTTTGCCATCTCCTACACATTTCTCATATTGGGCATTTATCATTCTGTTCACTCTACTTATTTAACCTCTTCATCAATTAATCAGCAGAATCTTTGCTGCACCAAAATGTGGTATATGAAAATGAAGAATTTGGAAGCCACTTAATAAAAACAGTAGCAAATGACAAGGAAATGTGAGGCTCTGTGGTAAAATCCTGGCCCCACTGAAGTCGCTGGCAAAATTTACATTAACTCAGATAGTCCAGAATTTCACCCTAGATGTTTACTAAATAATAAGCTAAATAATCTTCCTCAAAAGGGACACTTCAAGCTAGGGCAATAATTGATATTGTCAGATGCAAAAGACGGTTTCTTGGGTCTAATCATTCGCCACTCATTTGGGTAAAGATGGCACCTTACTTTCCACTAGGGAAGTCTTACAATCTCAGCCAACAATGAATCCAAATAACCTGCCAATTTAATTTAACTAGATATAAGGGTCATCAAACCAATTCACAGCACAAGGCCTTACAGAATCTCTGTGGGTAAAACTGGCCAAGATATGACATACACTTGTTTTTAGCTGTGATAAGGGCTATTCCGCACCTCTTGCTGGCATGGTATGACACAAGTTAAGAGTTTAACTGACCTACATGGACAATAGTGAGGCAAACATCTCTTTTTGTTCATTAATTGATTGTTGAAATCAAAATCTTCTATGGAAATTCATATATAAACAAAATTTCCCCACAGTGCACATATGACAGTAGCATCACTCCCAAATAATTGCTAGTCACAGATTAATTTTGTGACGCTAAATTTGTTCAGTTCCCTTCTGAAATGTAGAAAATAAAGCAGATGATGCTCTTTTCAGAAGTAGTGGGAGAAATCC